CAAACTCTCCCTCATAATAATATCAAAGTTTTCTATTTTATTTTGTTTAAAGATTAATAAGAGGTGAATTTAGAACATCGGGATTTGTGCATTTTTTATTTTATTTTTTGGTTTTGGCAGATTGTGCATTCCAGCTCCTGACCTTAATTTAATTGTACCTGACTCTTTTATTTCTGTTTTTTTCAACTTCTCTGTATGTTCAATCTTCAATACTTTTTTTAGGGCAAGAAATACGGTTGAGCAGTGCATCTTGGAAATTATATATGTTTGTTCGCACGCTTGATCTTTTCTTCTCCGCACCTAGGGCTACGATTCTTATGTGGTAGGGCTGTAGGATCTGCTCTGAAAGGCGTTTTCTATGATACATCTCTGAGATGATGTAGATTTGGCCTTATGTTGTAATGATACTTCCACTTATTCAGGTCATATATGGAGGCATGATCATTCGATATAATGTCGGCTCTCCAAAAGAGCTTTGGCATACATACTGCAATTTGTTTTGACAACCAGGTAGGCTTTTTCCTATGAGATTAGTTGGATCAATGAAGTTAAATGAGAAGGAATAGTTTTTATAACAGCAGTTTATCTTTTTTTCTAAGAGTAATTGCTATGACAAACATAATTTTATGCGGAATTTTCATAGGGCGTTTTTTGTGGTCCTTTCATTTCAAGCAAAAAAACCCATCCATTGGCAGTCCGTTAATAAAAAAATGCGCAACTGTCTCATCATTGGGATGGATTGTGCTGCTGAAAAGAGTTTAAATGTTGTTGGGTGTCATTTTCCTGTCTTGCATAGATTAGAAAGATAAATACTTAGAATGCTGGCGAGCCTTCCCATGTTTGTGACCTTTGAGACAAAGCTGCGATGTGTTGTGTGTGTAGCATTTTGTTTTTCATTCTCTGGATAGAAGACCCTCACATGGAAGCTTTGCATAGGCTTTGACGAAAAGTTCAAATAGGGGGTGTGGTAGATAGTGCAATTTGGACAGTCTGCCTCACAAAGTTTGAAGTAATTGGCAGATGGGGGGATTGCACCTCAGTTTTTCTTGCATTTAATTGTTTAGCAATGCATATTTTGATATGGGAACAGTGTTGCGTAGCCTTGTGTCAATTGAAATGTGGTTATTTTTGATTAATTGTAATAGCCCCTTTTAGCTGCCTCTAATAGCTTTGGGTTTTTCAGTTTGTCTATGAATTTTTATGCTGTCAGTTTTTTATTTTATTATTTTTTTAGATGTTTGGCTCTACGGAAACATAGTACGGAATTGTGAATTGTGTTTTGATGATGCCATCAGTTTGCTATGGGTGTTTTCTTTGACTTCTTACAGGTTGCTGCTATTCAACATGGCCATGTGAAAGGTAAGATGAGACGTCCTAGCTCAGCTGGACTAAAGACTTGAGGTGATCTTTGTATTCTAACTATCGACAAGACCTCTGCTAATCATATTGTTTGTTACTTTTATGTTCATGCTCAGCTGGAAAGCCAAGCTCTATGGTAGACCTATGCACATTGTTTCTGTTATTGCCACTACTGTAATGGCCACAAAAACCAATTACATCGGTTTAGATGAGCGTTAGTCATAATTGTAAATTCGTAGATAGTACTTTTCTTGGACTTATCAGTTTTCACGCATTGTGTAGAGACCACTGCCTTTCAAGTTCGTAATATATTAGATTCCCAAGCTAGAATTTTATAAAACATAAATTCAGAAGGAATCACAAAACTAATGGCAATGTGAATATCGATAATAGATCATCAAAACTGTGTTCCTGGCGAATCTAAGAGTCTAAACAGTGCTGATGCATACCCCCTGACATACCATGCGAAATTAAATATTATTGGTCTTACATCTAAAAATTCAATAAATGAAGGCCGGCCCTGATACTCAGTTTGGTTGTTTTCAAATTTTCATATCTGAAAACAGAAAGTTTATTTTGTAATGGTGTGTCTCTTTAGGTCCTTTTCATATCTTTAATTCTTTTGAGAATAAAGAGCAAAGGAAATCAATTTGTCTTGAAAGTTGGAACAGTTTTAGTTCTAGCAAAGTGGGGCTTTGTTTATCTTACTAATCGTTAGTTGTTGAGCTGCTATCAATTTTTATCATCCTCATGGTTGATCTTTATTGATATGTGATTGGTTCCCAACTGCCTGCGCCAAAAACTTAGACAATTACAGTATTTTACGATTGTGAATTGTCTGTATGAGATTGTATTCTATTTATTTTCTGACTTTTTAAGATGCAAAATTAGTAATTAAGGTTTCTGATTCCATTTTTGCTAATTATATACAATTTTATTTTTAGAATTGTTTGTTGATATAAGCATTTACAACACGAATCGGCCTACAAAACTTACTATAGAATCATGTGTTGCACAAGTTTTTGTGGTTGGTTTGTGAATGAATTACTTCTCTAACATTCTTCTATTATTACAAGAGCGTTTTTTTTTTTTTTTTTTTTTTTCTGTTGAAAAAAGAGAGATACATAATGGTAATGTATCTTATGTTTTACTAAGAGAGTTTATACAATGAAGAAAGGCTTGTTATATGTATAATGACAAAATTTCTTTCTCCCTCCCCTTTTCCCCTTCTTTCCTTCTCCTCCCCCCTCGGGCCTTTCCGTTGCCATGGCCGTCGTTGCCTTTTCCTCCTCCTTTCTTCCCTTTTTCTCCCTTACTGGTCTATTTTTTTTGGTCTTTTTGTTCTACAGAGATTTGGCAGAGTATGGAAAAGTGTTACAACAGGACTCAAAGTACTTTGTAAGTCCGTATTGAAGTGCAAGAGGTATGGAATAACTTAGGAGAGAAAACAAGGAGGAAGCAAGTTTATTAAACGTATGCTTTTAGGTTGCTATGAATAACTTAAAACATCAGCAAATATTTATATGAGATACAATAATAACCAAATGACCATAATACTCTTAGCTCCACACAAAAAATAAAATAACATATGCAGCTACCAATTCTAACACTCCCTCTTAAGCTGGAGCATAAAGATCGAATATGTCCAACATGGCATAGAGAACTGAAAATGAAGAACGAGCAAGGGATTTGGTTAGTATATCACCCAATTGATCATCAAAAGTAAACATTTGGTGTCACAAGTTGCATATGCAACGACAAATCCCAGATGAAATGACAATCGCCCTAATATGCTTGTATGCTCATGAAACACGGGGTTATTAGCAATGAAAATAGTGGCTTGATTATTTTTCAGCAGCACATGCTCATGAAGAGTGGGAACACGAATACCAAAATCCCTGCAAAAGAGACAAACCCATAACATCTTGGAGATAGTATGAGCCATGACACCATAACTCAGTCTCAGCACTCGAACAAGTAACAACTGGTTGTTTCTTGTTAAACCAAGTAACAAGATTACCCTAATAAAGGTGTATACTAGATGCAAACGACGAGTGCCCGGCCCAATCAGCACACTAAAGCCAATTACAACAAGGAAGAAGAAGGATAATAGAGTAAACCACAACCTGGGCACATTTGAAGATAACGCAAGATACGGCATCAACATCAAAATGGGCTTTGACGAGGAGCATGCATAAATTGGCTAGCAATACTCATAGTATAAGTGTGACTGAACGAGTGACAGTAAGATAAATCAACTTCCCAACTAAACGACGATATCAACCAGTATCTGGAAACTACTGTCCAGTCTCACCATCAAGTTTAACTGAGAGTCCATAGGAATATTCCCGCAGACGAGTGCCAGGAGACATCTTAGAAAGAAGATCAAGAACATACTTGCATTGAGAAAGAATAAACTCCGAAGGATCAAGCAATCTCAATCCCAAGAAAATCACACTGATGACCTAAGTCCTTGTGTGAAATTGCTTTCAAATAAAATTGTAGATCAACAATACCGGTGGAGTCATTGCTAGAGATGAGTGATTGTCGTCTACATAGACATGAGAACAATATACCAATATAGATGAGTTGCGAACAGAAAACAGAGTGATCAAAAGTGGAACGATGGAACCCATATGCAAGCACATGGTAACTTAAAACGATTAGGACCAAACGAAGAGGAGATTGCTTAAGACCATAGACAAAGCCTTCCATAACCAACAAACGATTGCTCTCTGCTAGGGAACAATATAGCCAGGGGGCTGATCCATATAAACCTCGTTGAGAATCTCCATAAGAAAAGGAATTCTTTATATCAAGCTGATATAAAGGGCAGACTGACTGACAGAAACAAAGATAGAATCCAAACAAATTAAATCGAGCCACAGGGGAGAAGGTCCTAGATAATCAACGCTATAGGTTTGGTATAACCTTTGGCCACTAGGACTTGCTTTCTGTTGCTTCAATAGTACCATCAGGAAGATACTTGATAGTAATAAATCCAACAACAGCCCTAGAA